ACAATAACCTGGTAAAAATAATAGCACATTATATGATAACGGGTCAACCACTGGCCTACTGAGGAGATCTAATTTTGTAAATTTGGTTCCTAGGAACCAAAATCTTTAGTGACTGTGATGAGATGCTGGTCAAGCATGCCTAAGTTTCCAATAAGAGATACTGTGACAGGATGCTGAGTTATATAATGATTGGCAAGTAAAACAGAACATACTAATTTGGACTTCAAGGGAGCCCTTAACACTAGCTGCAACGATACTATTCCCCTAGTTCAGTCAGTCTCCTAGAAGATGAATTCATAGTTTCAAACCCCTAACACCTCCCTCCCCCTCCAGCTTTTCTCTCAGCCAGTGATCTTGAAAATGGAAGCAATCAGAAAAGAACTTCTACAAGTTCCCATTATCACATATGCCCACCTGTCAGCCCTGCTGTCATATTCCTGTTACTTGCTCCTTGCTCTGTTCCTCCCGCACTAGATCCTGCACTCTCTTGCCTACTTGAGCACGTTGCTCTAGCAAAAATCCCTCTCTCACCTGCAGAATCAAATTGTCCTTCTCTTCTGGATCACCTCCATCAGCATACAAAACAAGCTTTTAAAAAAACTTTACCAAAACCCATTTCACCCCTTCAGCCACAACCTTTTTTCTCTGATCCACTTTAGAGAAAAATTTCTTGAGTTACCTATACTCTATTCCTCTTCTCCATCCTCTCTCAAACACTCCCTACAGGCTTTCACCTCCCCTCCACTGCAACAGCACTTATCAAGTTACCGGTGACCTCTGCACTGATTGCTAAATCCTATGGTCAATTCCTAGTCCTCATATCACCTGACCTACCTACAGCATTTGACTCCTTCCTTCAAACTTGGCTTCCAGGACTTCACATACTGCTGGTTTTCCTACCTTACTGGCCACTCACTGTCTGCTTTGCTAGTTCCTCTCCACCTCCCTGACCTCTTAGCATTTGGAGTGCCCAAGACTCAGTCCTTGAACCTCTTCTCTATATACCATTCCCACCCTTGGTGATCTCAACCAGTCTCATGGCTTTATATAGCACCTATACATTAACTTGGAGCCCTGGTGGTATGGTGGTTAAGAGCTCAGCTGCTAACCAAAAGGTCAGCAGTTCGAATCCACCAGTGTTCCCTGGAAACCTTATGGGGCAGTTCTCTGTCCTATAAGGTTGCAATTAGTCAGAATTGACTAAGCAGCGGGTTTGGTTTTGGTATATGTTAACTACACATTCACATCTCAGCATAGAATATCCAACTGCCAATTTAACATTTCCACTGGGATAACTACTAGGTGTCTCAGACTTAACATGTTTACAACTAAATTCCTTATCTTTTCCTGAAAACCTGTGCTACCTACAGGCTTCTTCTGTCTCAACTGCTCAAAACACACCTTGAAATCAACCCCAATGCCTTGTTCTCTCACATTATACATTCAGCCTATTAGCATATGCTATTATCTTGACCTTCAGAATATGTACAGAATCTGACCACTTCTCAAGATTCCAACTGCTAGCACACTGGTAGAAGTCACCTGCATTTGCCACAGGAGTTACTGCAATGGTCTCCTAACTGGTCTGCTCCCACCCTTGCTCACCTGGCTCACTTAGAACTTAAGTCAGATCCATCATTTCTCTGCTCAAAACCTTCCAACACCTCCCTATCTCAGAATAGAAGCCAAAGTTCATATAAAGCCCTACACAATCTGCAACACCCCTACTCCCACCCCGTCTCTTACTATTCTCCCTTCCTCGATCTGCTTCAGCCCTTACTAGCTGCGTGCTCTACCTGGAGCCCTCTAGAGCATGTTCCTATCGCAAGGGCCTTTCCCTTCCTGTTCCCTCTGCCTAGAATTTTCTTCTCCCAGGTGTCCACAAGTTCACGCCCACACTGCCAAGCTTTTGTTCTAGTGCTACCTCAATGAAGTCTTACTTCTCCACTCTAAAATTCCAATATCACTGTCTCCCTTAACTCCCTATTCCCTCCTCCAACTCTTTTCCATAGCATTTATCTTCTGGTGAGCCATATAATTCACTTATTGTCTCTTTCCCTTCACCAGAATGTGAGTTCCATACATAAGATGTCAGCTATGGTTCAAGCAGTTTTAAGTGGTTTTAAATTATTTGGCAGTACTTCAGTTCCTGCCTTCCTGGTATTATTAGATCCATTCTGTCCCCCTAGGTATATAACAGACTGTAATAAAACAAAATAAGGAAAATTGAAATCCCAGAAATTAAACCTGCCTCTTGTAACAGAGCAAAATACTAATATCCTGTCTTCATCAGGTACAGTATTTTTATAACATGGAATTGCTGCCACCTGCTGGTGAAACTTATGACAAAGTTAATTTTGGGAAATCCAATAGTCCACTCAAAATTTTAAAAATCCCATCAGAAGTAGGTAGCTATATGGATAGCTTTATGATTATTATATCTGAAGAACTCTCATTTCTCTTGACAGAAAAATAAATAATAAGTACATTAAAGGATTTCAAATATAAACCAGAACCCTCTACAACTGAAAAACGGCCTTACTGAAAAGGCAACAGGTCTGGAAATATGGCTGCTGAGTCTTTTCTCTAGAGCCCATATTTCCTTCATCTCCTTGAAAGGAAAGGTGCGTCCACTAGATGCTTGCTTGCTTGCTCGCTCGATTCCATATTTAGCTGAGATGGAAGGGTAGTCCTCTCATGCCATGAAGAGCTTCATGGGTCCAGCTGACCCACAGAATGTTCTGATCAGCTTATTCGATGTTTACTGATTTCCTCATGAAGCTGAGCAAGAAAATGACCATGACAGGTACAGTGCCTAAGATGGCACATACACAGCCAGTGAAGTGTCCTGAGAAATAACTAACTTAAAGCTACAAAAAGACCTCAATCAAAACAAATTTCATTGATTTGTTGAGCCTGCTAAGATTAGGTAATCAGTCTTCAAGAAAAGTTTTTCAGCTCCTGACCAATCCAGGTGCATCGAGATATAATGGAAGTTTATATAACACTAACAGTAGTTAACAGTCAATAGCTAATCGCCTCATATGGGTGCGAAAGCTGGACAATAAATAAGGAAGACCGAAGAAGAATTGATGCCTTTGAATTATGGTGTTGGTGAAGCACACTGAATATACCACGGACTGCCAGAAGAATGAACAAATCCATCTTGGAAGAAGTACAGCCAAAATGCTCGTTAGAAGTGAGGATGGTGAGACTTCGTCTCACATACTTTGGACATGTTATCAGGAGGGACCAGGCCTAGAGAAGGACATCATGCTCGGTAAACCAGAGGGTCAGCGAAAAAGAGGAAGACCCTCAAATGGACTGATACAATGGCTGCAACAAACGGCTCAAACACAGTAACAATTGTGAGGATGGCTCAGGACTGGGCAGTGTTTCATTCTGCAGTACATAGGGTCGCTATGAGTGGGAACCGACTCGACAGCACCTAACAACAACAATAAAAATGGATGACACAACTGTCACAGCCAAAAGGAGCCTAGGGAGACATGACACTAGATGTAATGTGGTAGCCTGGATGGGATCCTGGAACAGAAAACTTTTTCGGCTCTAGTTAATAATAATGTATCTCTTATTAACTGTGACAAACATACCATGCTAATTTAAGATGTTAATAACAGGGCAAACAGTGTGGGGTATATGAGAACTCTCTGTACTATCTTCAAATTTTTCTTTAAATCTAAAACTAGTCTAAAATAAAGTTTATTTTGAAAAATGGAAGGGACAAGATGCATCTCAACTGACAAAGGCAAGTCCTGAAAAGTTAGTTCAATCACAAGCTTAAAAAGTTGACTTAAAAAGTTACTTAGTAGATTATTTTCAATTATTCTAGACACAATTTTTTTAAATAAAAACCAATAGACACAGCCCCTTCAAACTACTGTTTTGGGCAGAATGAATTATTAGTCTGCAAAGGGCTCCTCTGCTCTATCACTCTCAGCAAAAGGACCCATGAGGTTCATGTCAATTTATGGCAAATCTCAACCCACTTGTAAAAATGGCCTCCATGAACCTAATCTAGGAACAAAACTCTTTATCGTATACTTTCTTGACATAGCAGTCTTGCACAGACCCATTTATTTCATAGGGCATTTGGAGGGTTACCCCAACCTTTCATTTTATTCAGAGACAAAAGTACTATACCAAAGCAGAAGTCATCTTAAAATTAACTCATAACTCATGCTACAAAAATAAGACTTACAAGCCCACTTTGTTAAAAACGAGCAGTGAAGATTTTGTACCTAAGGGAGAAAGGAAGAAACACTCACGTGAACATATAAGTCTTTGAGACTAACCACCTTTGTTGATTTTTTAATCATAAATGGGGAAAAAAAAACCACTCCCATTTTCATGAATTGCATTGTGACGGCTTCTTGCCTTCTACTACATCAACATAATGTGCAACAGCCTAAAATAAAATGACCTCTAGCGAATATCAACCAACCCACGAACTAAAGAGCTTCTCAGTGATGACTACTGAAAAAAAAGTCAGAATTGGGAATCCTGTTCAATCACAGTAGTCACTGTTCTCAGGTATATATTGTGTAATTAATCTTTCCAGTTCCATTTATTATCTTCAATTTATTCTTCAAAGTAACTTTAGTTCTTATATAAAATATGCTGAATAGAAGTCCATGTAAATATCTGGTTTAAATAAAACATGGGCCCTAAAACTCAGCTCAGTCACAAGCCCAGGATAAGAGGAGCTACTACTGTTCACACTCTTCTGTTCTCACCTTAAGAATATCTGTTATACGCCAAAGAGAGTTTTTAAATGTGATCAGTTGCCTTGGCAACAGAACAAATATCAGCAACTCAGATCTAATTAGAAGATAATTTCTTTTATTACCTTTATTGTTAAGATTGAGGAGCCCTGGTGGCACAGTGGTTAAACGCTCGGCTGCTAACTGAAAGGCTGGCAGTTCACACCCACCAGCTGCTCTGTGGGAAGAAGCTGTGGCAGTCTGCTTCCATAAAGACTACAGCCTTGGAAATCCTATGGGACAGTTCTACCCTGTTCTATAGGGTCACTAAGAGTTGGAACCGACTTGACAGCAGTGGGTATTGTTAAGATTAAGCATCCTTATTGGCAATCCAGAAACACAAACCCTGCTGACTCTTTGGACCAGCGCACACTCACAAAATGATTAAAAGTATTTCCCCAATTTCAATGACAAGGTAGGAAAAAAGAACATGTTCACAAACTGCAGCTGAATTCCTGTCATCTTTTCCAAAAAATTTTATTTTGCTACCAAGCCACTCACCAAACCATAAGGAAAGACAATTTTTCAAAAAGCCAACAAAAAACCAGGTATCTTGGTATCTAGGTATCAAGCCAAAATTATGCCCCAAAACACTGCTGTTACCAAAAAAAAGGGTAGGAAGTTAAATTCCCATAGCTCATTAGAGAATATCTTAAAAAAGAAAAAGAATCCTGAACTACAGTGGTGTGGACAGTGAAGCTCAGCTTGTCCAGCTTGGGAATATGTTGGGCTTTCTCCTATTCCAGCAGAGGAAATAAAAACATGAGCTGCTGGAGTTATTAAAATTGTCCTTACCAACTGATGGTGGGTGGGAGTAAAGGGATAATGTGCAACAAAAGGTAGCAAAGACAAGTCATTCTGAATCTAGGATCTATTGCCCAGGAAAGTTGAAAAGGGCTGAACTTCTTCTAGAGTTGGTTCAGAACCAGTGGACTATACACCACTAATAAATATCAGGTGACCCACGGTGTTTGTGGTATTAAAACATATTTTTTAAATTATCTATATACATCTCTATTCCGAAAAGCAGAAGAGCAAAATGACACTGGGCCATCTAATCAATTATAAAGTGTTTCCTCCAAGGACAACTCACTCAGAAGAAATTTAGGTTGGAAGGAATGTGAATAACATGGAAGCAATGAGATCAGGCTTGTAAAAGGTTACAATCTCAGTACAATTTTAACAAGGCTTTTACCCACCCCAGTTGTTAAGTAGTAGTCCTGAGGGCGCCCCAACAGGAGTGCCTTAGAGGGATCCTTCTCAGAGATAAAAAGGTCTGTAAGTTAAACCTGTGACCCCTCTTCTTATCTATAGCTTGGGGAAGAAAATATTTAATTTTTAACTATGCAGAGTTGGGATACATTGTAACATTTAATATTCTCTAGTTTTCATTTTCTAAACCTTTGGCTTATAATTTTCTCAATTTATGTTATACTGAGAAATATAAAAATATGCCTTAATCAGTAGTATCAAATGAAAATATAAACTTTGTTTTTCCATATCTTCTACATAGGAAGATTGAATGAATGGTACCCTAAATATCCTGCAAGGTAACTCTGTGTAGTGAACAAAAGATTAGGGAAAACCATTCCACTTCCATATCTTGAACAATAGGAGTTAACTAGTCTTCAATCTCATTTTCCCAAATGTCTCCATTAACATCCACAGCATGGAACAACCTGGAAGCACAAAATAAGGTACATTTAAAAAAAAACTTATTTCACCTTTTTTTTTTTAAGATAAGGTCCTATGCTTACTCTAGTTATTTCTGCTAGGAATTTTCCATGTAATTTTTAAATTGTGCTAGTATTTTATTGGAATTGTTGTTTTTGTTAGTGCTCTGTCTTTGAGTTGTCTCTTTTTCCCATCTTCCCGTTATTTTTAATGTGTCATTAAATACTTTCTGTACTCTTCTGATAACATCTTTGTATGTCTTTTCCTCTCCTTTAATCACTCTCCTGAGGGCTGAAATCTGGGTGTCTCTGGATAAGCTATCTTAAAGTTTGGAAGAGGAGCCCTCCTAGAATTCAGACCACTTTCTTGGGTCAAGGATAAAACAATAATAATGGGGAAGAAGGTAATCACAAAGTCATTCACTCCGTATTTCTATATCTTCACTGTCTATGCACCCTCCATTTGTAGAATGTTTTATAGCTGCCATCTGGTCATCTTTCCCTTATGTTACCTAAAATACACGTAATTCGCAACTCTAGATTTCATGGGCAAGGCTTGTTTCTTCAACTTCTTATAGCTTCTCTTATAGTCATAACACAAATGACTGTAAATACTCTACAGATGCCTATTAACAAGGATCATAAATTGATGCTGACACTAGAGGGATGGTGGAGAAAATATTGACACTGTGCAAGGAATCACCCAACAGATTCCTTATTAATAATGAAAAGGAAAACTTAACTTTACAGTGGAGCAAATGATCAAACTGAGCATCACTGATAGTTGGGAGAACCTAACATTTTGGGCCTCCTAATGTGATATAATATCATCACCTCCCATGAAGTATTCTTGTCAAAAATGTTTACCCTAAATCTAATCAAACCTCAATCTAGACCTAACTTCCACTTTACAGGAAATAGAGAGGATAGAGAAACAAGACACTATGGGGGAAAAAACTCTGGAAGGGAGGATGTCATACAGGGCAACTTGCCTAGACTCTTCAAAAAATTAATGTCTCCACCAAGCAGTGGGCTTCCCGGCCCATGAAGTGAGAAAGCTGGTGCCTGGGGTGCCTCTGGGGACTTCCTTGCAGGGGATGAAAAAGCTCTGTAACACTTGCCTGAGCAGGGGAGCAGCCTAGGACCAGAGAGGCATGCCTGCGAGCACAGCTGAGAAAAGGCTGCCCTGATGGAAGAACTGTATCCTGAGTGTTTTTGAGCCTGAATTGTAGCCTGTTACTTCCCTAATAAACTTCATAATCATGGGGGAAAAAAAAAATTAATGCCTCCACCCAACACACATCAGAAAGAGGGTGAATCTGTTCTATATTAAAAGAGACTGAAGATACAGAACCAAATACAATGAGTGAACCTTGATTAAATCCTGGTTCACTAAAACAGCTTAAAATGACATTTTAGGAATAATTAGGATGTTTTAAATACCTGTTGTTTATTAGATGACAGCATGACATTATTGTTAATTTTTTTTTAAATACTGTGGTTATGTAGGGGCCCTGGTGGGGAAGTGGTTAAGTGTCTGGCTGCTAACCAAAGGATCAGCAGTTCAAATCCGCCAGCCGCTCCTTGGAAACCCTATGGGATAGTTCTACTCTGTCCTATAGGGCCACTATGAGTCAGAATCAACTCGACAGCAATGGGTTTGGGTTTTTTGGTGGTTATGCAGAAGAATTTTCTCATCTTAGGAGATACATGTGGAAGTATTTAGAGCTGAAGCGTCATCACCCCTCCAACTTAGCTTCAAGTAGTTCAACAAAAAAGTTAAATAGAACAAATACGGCAAAATGTTATCAATTGTTAATTTAGGTGGAAGGTGTCCTGCTATTCACAATGCTATCCTTTCAATTCTGTATGTTTGAAAATTTTCACTATAAACGTTGGGGAGGATAAAAAATAAAATAGAAAATTCTAGATAATGTTCCCATCATAAAATTCATTTTTGAGAAAATACAGAAATTCATATGTATGGGAAAACATATCAGAGAATTCTCTAAGTCCAAGTACTTAGGTAAAACATTGGATTTGTGATCTGCAAATCGAGTACCAAAGATTGCTGCTGTGCGTGGGGAGTTCTGTGTATACGTACCGGTTAAAACACGGGGAAGCAGGATCATTAAAATGTTTATAAGGGTTTGCTCTAGAGAGAGAACCCATGCAAATCCAGCAGAAATACTGCATGCATCCAGTACATGTCATCTTGTTACACCCATCTAATTTCTGGTGGGAAGGATAGAAGGAGAAAAATATCAAGGCTGTAAAAGCAAAAGAGAAACGCACTTGCCAAAAAGATTTAGTACAACATTTTGCTAGTCTTCTCCCTTTGCTTGTGCAGGGTTGAGATACACAGGTAACACTTCAATAACTATGTTACTTGTAATGCAAAATGAGCATTAAGGAAAATATTTAGCAGGTGCTCCTACAACTAGACACTTAGCAAAATCTCTTCTGATAAACACTAGATACAAGCAAAACATGTATATTATATGTGGAATGTGTAGTAACAGATTAATGTTAAAATGTTTGGATTTAAAACGTGTGATTTTAAATTTTTTAAAAAAATCTAAGTATCAAATCTCCACTCTATTATAGGCTTGAGGCATGCCAGAAGTGATTAAATATAATGCCAATTTCCTTCAGGGAGTAAGCAGAGAATCACCATTAGGTTCAGATCAGATATAGTAGATTGGAATAGTAGAATCAAAGGCAAAATACATTTCGATTTTAAAATGTATTAAGATTTATCTAATTTTGGCTCAGATTAATGGAAAAATGCCTCTATTTCCTGAGCAAGTAATTGCTAAACAGGTGTTCTACATCTCAGCATAAATAGTTCTGAGGAAAAGTCAGACTTGTTTTTTAAATCACAAATGAGTTAGGAGTTGATTGTAGCTCTCATATGGCCTCCTCACAACCCATTCAATTTTCAGGTGGATATAATGTGAGAAGGATTTCCTGGGTGGTGCAAATGGTTAAGCGCTTGGCTACGAACTGAAAGGTAGGCAGTTCAAATCTACCCAGAGGCACCTCAGAAGAAAGGCTTGGTGATCTACTGCTGAGAGATCACAGCCATTGAAAAGTCTATGGAGCAGTTCTACTCTGACACACATGAGGTAGCCACGAGTCGGAAATGACTCCACAGCAACTGGTTTGGTTGTTTTTTTTGTTTGTTTTAATAATGTGAGAACAACTGTCACCATATAAAAGCACTTTGAAAAGCAAGTCTACACAAATTTAAGGTAAATAACAATATTTAGCAATAAATGTGCATCTTCTAAGTAAGAAGGCTTAATAGATACCAAAATGTGTTTTCGTAGTAAGCATAAAATTGACTAATAGGTTTCTTAAGGCAATCATAACATATTTGCAACTCTGTTTACCTCCAAGTCTGTCCAGAAATATTTACCTCTATGGGAGTTCCACAGCACGGGCAGCTCTTTGAGTTCTTTTCTAGCCACTCCGTACTTTCCACCTCTTCCAGTGCCTTCTGAATCACCCTCTTACCGTATCTCTGTTCCAAAAATCTTTTATTGGCCTCATCTGCTTGCAGGTACTCATTTCGTAAGTCCATTAACTTCTCTAGAAAGTGAAATGGAAAATTAACTTCTATACAATTTTGCAGTGCTAACTAAAAACCATTAAAAATGGCCATAACCTTTGACTACTCAATAATGCTATTCCTGGGACTTTATCATAAGGAAATAATCCAACGTAAAGGCATATGCACAGAGATGCATATTACAATGGCAAACAAATTAAACGCCCAGGGAATAATTATGTGTGGAAGAGCCATTTAATGATGTAATATTCAGTTATTAGAAACTTATAATTAGGATGGCTACAACACATTTAAAATGCTCATTATAGAATCCAGAAAAAAACTGTACTTACATTGCAACTATGTAAAAATTATACATGCACAAATGACAAAGAACATAAGGGAGTCCCCTAACTAAAGAAGATGGATTTGCTAAAGGTAGTAGAATAATGGAGTTTTTTCCCCCTCTGATTTATTAATGTTGCTATATTTGTGCAATTAATAGTATACAGTTCAAGACTGACGTATCTAAAAGACACAAAGGTTGAAACAGACATGTTTACTGATTATCCACTAGGTCAGCATTATTAACCATTTGGTAATGAGCAAGACCTAGCCAATACACAAAAGTGCCTGTGGCTTAAGGGCAAAGAGTAACTTTTCAATTCTGTATAAAAAAAAACTAGTGAATAAAATTTACTACCCTCAGTCTCACCTGTGTTATGTTTGTTACAGGTGCTAAGAAGTTCCTCCTGTCAACTTGTCCCTTTGATAGTCTTCAACTTGACTTCTATTGCTCTATTACTTAACTCAAATGAACAGGCAACCATTCCCAAAGGCTTTATTTGTACACCAGAGGCTTTTTCTAATATCTTAATTTTTCAGTACTATTAATTAGCTTCAAAAACCTCTCTCAACAACGTTCTTATTATTTTATTAGTTTACTTTCCCCATATTATTTAAACGTCTCTCTCTCTTTTTATGCAGTGGACACCATCTGGGGCAGAATCCTAGCTGCATTCTTTTCCTTCACCTGGAATCCTTTCTCTCTGTCACGCATTCCCACAGCTCCATCACCTCTACTTCAAGATAGCAGACATGGACCTTTTCATCCTGTCATTTTTTTTACTGAACTTTTTTTTTCAATTGTACTTTAGATGAAGATTTACAGAACAAATAGTTTCTCATTAAACAGTCAGTACACAAATTGTTTTATGACATTGGTTAACAGCCCCACGACACGTCAACACTCTCCCTTCTCGACCTTGGAGGAACTTTTTTTGGTGAAAATATACACAACCAAAGTTACACCATTTAAAAAGTTTCTACAGGTACAATTCAGTAACATCATTTACATTCTTTCAGTTGTGCTATTCTCACTATCCTTTTCCAAATTATTCCATCACCATTATCTTCAACTCACTGCCCCAAGGCTTCCCATCAAACCTTTGAGTTGCTGTTGTAGAATTATCTATACTGATCTCACATAGATAATTCTTTTTTTTTGTACCTTAGATGAAGGTTTGCAGAACAAATAGTTTCTTATTAAACAGTTAGTACACATATTACCCTGTGACAATGGTTAACAACCCCACGACATGTCAACACTGTCTCTTCTCAACCTTGGGTTCCCTATCACCAGCTTTCCTGTCCCCTCCTGCCTTCTAGTCCTTATCCCTGGACTGCTGTGCCTCATTAGTCCTGTTTTGCTTTATGAGGCTCTCCAATCCCTGGCAGAATGGTGAACTTTGGGAGTGACTTCACCACGGAGCTAAAAGGGTGTCTGTGGGCCATACTCTTGGGGTTTCTCGAATCTGTCAGGCCAGTAAATCTGTTCTCTTTTTTGTGAGTTAGAATTTTATTCTACATCCTTTCCCAGCTCTGTTCAGGACCCTCTATTGTGATCAGGGTCAGAGCAGTCAGTGGTGGTAGCCAGGCACGATCTAGCTGTACTGGACTCAGTCTGGTGGAGGCCGTGGTAGCTGTGGTCCATTAGTCCTTTGGACTAATCTTTTCCTTGTATCTTGTTCTTTTCATTCTCCCTTGCTCCCGAAGGGTTGAGACCAGTGGAGTATCTTAGATGGCTGCTCACAGGCTTTTAAGACGCCAGATGCTACTTACCAAGGTAGAATGTAGAACATTGTTTTTATA